GGGCAGTGAGGCTTTGCGGTCAGCTTGGGTTGGAGGGCCTCGGGAAGTCTGTGTCGGGGGCCAAGGGCCTCAATCTCGAGGTGTTCTTCTCCGTGAAGACCCATAAGGAGCTCAGGCCTTTTAGAGCTATCGTTACCCAGAGAGACTCCTGGCAGCTTCATGTATCTTCTTTTCTTCAGCGCCACCTGTGTGTGCTCACGTTGGATGATCCTTTTCGTATTTGCAATTCTGAGGCCCTTGTGGATTACCTCCGAGAAGACAATCCGGGAGAGTGTGATTAATGTCTCTGGATGTCGAGGATATGTTCTACTCAATACCCCATGGTGAATTGATGAAAGCGGTGGAAGAGTGCATTCAGTCCAGTGGGTCGGTGGCTTTTATGAACTCGACGGGTTTGGCGGTGGAATCCTTTTTGGAGTTGTTGACTTTTTACTTGAGTTCCACCTATATCACGTTTGAAGGCGAAATTTTCCTGCAAAAGAGTGGGATTTGTATTGGGTCGAGTGTGGCGCCTATCCTTAGTGATAGATATCTGGCGAGGTGTGATAGAGTTATAGCGGAGTCGTTGGATTGTCGGGTTTTGAGAGTTTTTCGGTATGTTGACGACTACCTTGTTGTGTTTAAAGATAGCCTGGGCCCCAACCGGGATAGTGTGTGTGTGGAAGTCTTGGCTTCCTTTAAGGAATGCTCCCCCGGGTTATCGTTTAAGTACGAGACACCTACGGGAGAGGGGTTGCAGTTTTTGGACCTGAGGCTCACTCTTCAGCCGTCACACACCTGTTGGGCCTATGAGCCACGCTCTAAGAAGAGGCTTTTGCCATACGGCTCCGCGCACTCAAAGCTTGTGAAGCCTGCGATCACTACGTCGGGTATGCGCGCCCCTTTGCTCAAGTCATGCCACCATAGGTGTGAGGACAGCCTGCTTTCACAGGTGTCTAGGCTGACCTCTGCGGGGTACCCGGTGGCGATGATTGTGGGAGTGGCTGAGTCCCTTGTTAAGGTGTTCGGAGGTAGAACCAGTCCTAAGGCGAGGCAAAAACCGACAACCAGACCAGTGGTGGTGCCCTACATTCACGCCCTCTCACATCAAGTCAAGCGCGTGGCCAACAAGTATAAGGTGCCTGTGGTGTTTTCGGCGCCCCGGAAGTTATCTCGACTATGCTCCGCCGTTAACCGAGGGTTGAACAGGGATAACCACTGTGATGTTAACCACCGCGATCCGTTTGTCTCATGCGCAGTAGGGGTTGTATACCAGATCCCCTTCACATGTGGTCGGGTTTACATTAGACAGACAGGGAGGTGTGTGAACGTGAGGGCGAGGGAGCATTCCCTTGCTCTCCGTTCCTCACCCTCTGGCCACCTTGCGGTACATTGTAGTAGGTGCGGCTGCGTTCCCCTGTTCAATGAGTTGACGATCTTGGCGCGCAACAAAAACAAGACTGCCCGGGAGATTGATGAGGCCTTTTATAATTTATCAAGGGGGGAGGAAGAATGCGTCAGTGCTCCGTCGGTTAACTTGGGGGCTGACGGAGTGTTTTTTATCAAGAACTGTGGCAGACCTGTGTGAAAGTGATATGGCGTGGTAGTGTCTTGTTTTATCGGGTTCCCTCCTTTTTATTGGCTTCTGTGTTTTTTCCTCTCCACACCCAGTGTTTACTTTCTGGTTCGCTTGAAAATAAACATTCAGTTGTTAGTCAGCGCTGTGTTTGTGCACTTCTTCTACTCGTCCTTCGTCGGTTTTTTCCTGCGCTGTTCCCACCTATTAAGATGCTTAACCAACTCGCCCAACTATCTGCCGTGTTGAACCTCATTTCTTGTACATCGGGCCCTTTTTTGTGTGCTCCTATCGTAACCCATCAAGACGTTTTCTACATTAACGCCATCGCATCAGCAGTCTGCAAAGCCCGTCACTACGGGTACGCAGCCAGAAAAGGTACGTCACCCCCGGAAGTCGTCGCCCTTTTCGGTATGGTGAATCCGTCCGCCGGACATGCGAAACGGGTGTGCAAGATCCTTCGTTCGGAGTCGTGGAGACAAGTCAGACTACTACAGGAAGGTTTAAAAGTCTGGTGCTATCGGACTTCTGTGGATGCGGGCGCAGCAAAGGAAGTTCCGAGCGTGCAAGCGAGAGGTTGTGCAGGTGACAGATTTTCTGTGGGAGCGGCTGCGCGCCTTGTTCCCTAAGAAGTGTCAAGGTCAGCCGGGAGTCAAGGGCAACGTGGTCTTCATGGGAGGTGCGTCGGCTCCGGCAGAAGTGTCGGACATTTTGGAAAAGGGTCCCAAATTCGCCACGGAACCGTCGGTCGGGCCTTCGGAAATGCTGGCCCTGGTTCGGCAGGTATCTGCGAAGTCGTCAGAGGAAAACAGGGATTGGTGTGTTCATGAATGTGTGGAAGGGTTGACCAAAGGGGTAGGCCGAAGGCCTTTGCCCAGGCTCAAGATGGGAACGGTGGTAAATTTTTTTAATGAGTCTAAGTTGAAGCTGTTGTTGTCGGATAAAGAGGGGGGGTTCGTTGTGGTGCCTGAAGGTATGTTTCAGGAAAGAGCGAGACAGGCGGTGCTTAAGAATTTCAGAAGTGTGTCGGGAGTGGAGCTGAAGAGGGTAAAGGCCAGGGCAGTGAGGCTTTGCGGTCAGCTTGGGTTGGAGGGCCTCGGAAAATCTGTGTCGGGGGCCAAGGGCCTCAATCTCGAGGTGTTCTTCTCCGTGAAGACCCATAAGGAGCTCAGGCCTTTTAGAGCTATCGTTACCCAGAGAGACTCATGGCAGCTTCATGTATCTTCTTTCCTTCAGCGCCACCTGTGTGTGCTCACGTTGGATGATCCTTTTCGTATTTGCAATTCTGAGGCCCTTATGGATTACCTCCGAGAAGACAATCCGGGAGGGTGTGATTAATGTCTCTGGATGTCGAGGATATGTTCTACTCAATACCCCATGCTGAATTGATGAAAGCGGTGGAAGAGTGCATTCAGTCCAGTGGGTCGGTGGCTTTTATGAACTCGACGGGTTTGGCGGTGGAATCCTTTTTGGAGTTGTTGACTTTTTACTTGAGTTCCACCTATATCACGTTTGAAGGCGAAATTTTCCTGCAAAAGAGTGGGATTTGTATTGGGTCGAGTGTGGCGCCTATCCTTAGTGATATATATCTGGCGAGGTATGATAGAGCCATAGCGGAGTCGTTGGATTGTCGGGTTTTGAGAGTTTTTCGGTATGTTGACGACTACCTTGTTGTGTTTAAAGATAGCCTGGGCCCCAACCGGGATAGTGTGTGTGTGGAAGTCTTGGCTTCCTTTAAGGAATGCTCCCCCGGGTTATCGTTTAAGTACGCGACACCTACGGGAGAGGGGTTGCAGTTTTTGGACCTGAGGCTCACTCTTCAGCCGTCACACACCTGTTGGGCCTAAGAGCCACGCTCTAAGAGGCTTTTGCCATACGGCTCCGCGCACTCAAAGCTTGTGAAGCGTGCGATCACTACGTCGGGTATGCGCGCCCCTTTGCTCAAGTCATGCCACCATAGGTGTGAGGACATCCTGCTTTCACAGGTGTCTAGGCTGACCTCTGCGGGATACCCGGTGGCGATGATTGTGGGAGTGGCTGAGTCCCTTGTTAAGGTGTTCGGAGGTAGAACCAGTCCTAAGGCGAGGCAAAAACCGACAACCAGACCAGTGGTGGTGCCCTACATTCACGCCCTCTCACATCAAGTCAAGCGCGTGGCCAACAAGTTTAAGGTGCCTGTGGTGTTTTCGGCGCCCCGGAAGTTATCTCGACTATGCTCCACCGTTAACCGAGGGTTGAACAGGGATAACCACTGTGATGTTAACCACCGCGATCCGTTTGTCTCATGCGCAGTAGGGGTTGTATACCACATCCCCTTCACACGTGGTCGGGTTTACATTAGACAGACAGGGAGGTGTGTGAACGTGAGGGCGAGGGAGCATTCCCTTGCTCTCCGTTCCTCACCCTCTGGCCACCTTGCGGTACATTGTAGTAGGTGTGGCTGCGTTCCCCTGTTCAATGAGTTGACGATCTTGGCGCGCAACAAAAACAAGACTGCCCGGGAGATTGATGAGGCCTTTTATATTTTATCAAGGGGGGAGGAAGAATGCGTCAGTGCTCCGTCGGTTAACTTGGGGGCTGACGAAGTGTTTTTTATCAAGAACTGTGGCAGACGTGTGTGAAAGTGATATGGCGTGGTAGTGTCTTGTTTTTTCGGGTTCCCTCCTTTTTATTGGCTTCTGTGTTTTTTCCTCTCCACACTCAGTGTTTACTTTCTGGTTCGCTTGAAAATAAACATTCAGTTGTTAGTCAGCGCTGTGTTTGTGCACTTCTTCTACTCGTCCTTCGTCGGTTTTTTCCTGCGCTGTTCCCACCTATTATGATGCTTAACCAACTCGCCCAACTCTCTGCCGTGTTAATACTAATAGAACTGATATACAAGACAGGCGTAAATGTACGCAAGCAGTGACGGAACACGATTGGAATCGGACTTTAAGCATTGCAAGATGTAGTGTGGCGGTAAAAATCCGGCTATCTTAAGATAAATAAAATATTGCGCTTCAAGAATATGAGACATATAAACTCCACTTGAAATATGCTAAAATTTATTTTTAAAAAAATTCAAACTATGAATCAGACGTACATAAAAAATTATTGATAGATAACTATGGGCAGTCGCAAAAAAAGCAGCTCGACTTCCTACTTTTGTATACCGCGAAAACGGACATTGATAATGCTTCGCCTTTCTATTGCGGGCATCTTATGCAAGACCAAAACATATCGTGAACCTATAAATGCTATAAAAACATGATGGATCGTATTTGAATTAAAATCGGTCATTTAATTTACACAGTCTTTGCATTTAAAGCTGTCTTGCTTTGCACTAAGTGTAAACCCTAGTATAAAAACAACCAGAAAGCTCCGACTTTTTCCAGTACATGCAAAAAAACATGTTGCACGATATACCAGATTGAGTTGCTTGCAGTATATGCGGATATACAATTATTTATGTTGTGCGGATTGCGATTTTTGCCAACAAGAAGGGAATCCCTCTTTTATAACAGAATGCCGTCTGTAATGTTGTGCTCTGGGTGATATAATGAAGATGATAAACTTTGTTTTCTGCGTTGTCAAGAAAGCGGACCCACCGCGACCACTTGTGAAAACAAACCGCTTGCAGGATACAAAATGATTTGAAGTTACTTACAACTATTTGGTCCTCTGTAACGTTAAATGGTATGCTGAGGTTTAAGTAGGCAGTCGTGCAAATGAGTACAAGGTCCTTCCAGAAAATATTCGTGAATCCCTGGAACAAATGCCGCAAGGCAATCAAGAGGTTGAAATGATACTTAGAAAACAAGCGAGCTGGTGATGATTCATGGTAATAAAACCCAAGACTCAGGAACACAGAAGAGGACGAACACAACACAACGTCTCAAACACAGCTGAACGTTTATTTTTCAGACACTCGTTTAAAAAGGCGAGCCCCTCCGGTGCCCGCACCCGACATCCACAGTCCCGAAGGTCAAGCCGCTTCCTCCCGTCCAGTCCACGTCAGCAGCCCTTCTCGCACACACAGCCATCCACATGCCCTAGGCGCCACAGAGTCGATGAGAACGTCCACGCAGTTGACTTATGACCCTCCACTGTCACCACTGCTAATGCCCCACTCCCTCGCAACGCTTCCTTGCCCCCCGCCGACGAATCGTACACAAGCACACCACACAGATATACCCCCTTCCCGTCCCCCCCCCCCCCCTTTACAGTTGCCGGCGTAAACACAAACCTCCAAAACACATGGGGAGGCCCACCCAGTGAGCTCAAATGCGCCGCAAAGTAAACTCAAACTTTTACAGTTTGTGCCGCTAACCGTCCGTCCCCCCTTTTTTTATGTACTTCCTCATGTTTAATTACTGTTACCAACACGCTCGCTTTGTACTTACTTATCCCCGACCTTAAATCCCCCCCCCCCCCCCCCATCTTCCCTTTATTTCCGTCTCCTTCCAATGCCTTAAAAAAGAAAAAAAAAAAAAAGGTTAATTTTTATTTAGCCTTTTGGCTGGAACTCACCCGTCATGGAGGCAAAACGGAGTTTCGCCTCCATGACGACTTTTTAAACGAGTGTCTGAAAAATAGACGTTCAGCTGTGTTTGAGAAGTTGTGTTGTGTTCGTCCCCTTCTGTGTTCCTGAGTCTCGGGTTTTATTACCATGAATCAAGAGGTTTATTTGTTTCTAAACTAAATATCCAGATCACCATAAATGTCTCATGGTGAGCTTTCTTTGGTTAATAAAACCAAGATAAATTCATTATACAAAGTTTTTCTGTATTTTAAAACTTAAACTAAATGCCCGAATATTGTCACGAAAGGAAGAAAACACGCGAGATATTTAGTTGTTGGTAAAGTGTAAGTTGAAATTCATGTTGCATATTGAATAAATATGAGCTGCCTGAATGAGCTTTTGTTGGGGTCAAGAAGAGAAGAGAGATAAGGTAATCGCAAGCCAGGGTAAGAAAGTCAACCTTTGTTAGCTTTTTCAACAGGGCCTTTTGTTATTTTTGAGCTACCTCTATACACCAACTCATGGGTCATGTTTACGAACAAACCAGAACGCCCCTAGCGGACGCCACCGGCACCGCGCATGCGCGATGAAGTGTGAGCAAGAAGCTCGCTGCCGACCATATGCAAGCCATTGAAATTCGATGTTGTCGGCCCTTTTTCGCGTTCGAATTGTTGATTCTACGTCTTCCTGGTAATGTCTAACCACACGAGCGACCTATGCGAAATTACCGAGGCTCGTTACACTGCAAAACTTCATGTGAATAATGAAACACGTGGTGATTCATTCCACGTGGATGCCGCAGAATGTGCGCTAAAGCCTGATTCGAAAGATAAAATTAAGCTCGCAATTTTTAGTCGCGACGTCGCTCGGGCTGCAAAAGCGTGAACCGTAGCTGGGATGGTCGACGTCAATACTGGAAATCGCAAGAGGAATCGGATCAAGTGAATCAGGCCTAATAAGTCGGTGATGGCCACTGGTAACAATGGTCAACATCTCCTTGTATCTACTGTTTATATCGAGCCTGCTTACCAACCTTTAAACTTAAGTCTTTTGGGGCTTGCACTTACTTCTTATCACCGCTACAGGGCCAACGTTTGGTCTACTAGCCGGTGTCGTCTAAAAGAGCAGACGACAAGCAGAAACATTTGAAAGAGCAGACGACAGTTCGAACGATCAGGCGGCCGTTTGAACTTGAAGACACACTGAGCGTAGTTCGCAGGTCTTGCGTACAGCTTGACAGTTTTCCGGCGTTCATGTTGGAACGAAGGAAATAAATTTTATAACTACAAATATCCGTGAATTCAAGCCAAAGGGCTTCTCGCGCAAGCAATCGTGGTCCGACGGCGTCTGGTTTTTCCTTTTCACGGCACATATTCACGTTCTCGGACGAAGCCAGCACATGAAAACTGACCTTCAAATCTTTCTCGGCTTTTTTGGTGCAGCCCCATTTGCGGCGTTTTGTCGAGAAGACAGATTTTTGTTTGGTTCCTTTCAAAACAACGCAGGAATGCACCCATCACATGGGGACCTCCGCCCACAGCCCCATACCGGAAGTGCGCCCGAAGCTTCACCACCGCGCCGTGACGTAACAGAGATGAGTTCGTGTATAGAGTAAATAAAGTCGACAGGCTAGAGAGGAGGAGAACTTAAAACGAAACAATCCGCTTTCGTTGGAGCTTGTAGAGCGCATTACAAACGAAGGCTCAATAGCAGGCTCACATACAGACCCTCAGAAACATGGTTCTAAAAACTGAGAAGTGGAAAACATTTATCTTCGTGCATTATTCAAAGATTAAATAATGCCAGATATTCGGCACATAGACGCTTGAGAAAAACGTAGTCTGTAGATCTTAAATGTGAGCCATTTGTAATTGTTTCTCAAAATCTGGACATTAATGGACAAGGAAAGTGTTGGTTTGGGCCAAGATTGGAAATAAGAATAAAGATGGAAAAGGAACACTACACAAAAATATCGTGAAATATGTTGTTCTGTCGTCGTCTCCTTACTTGCTTATTCTTTTTTTAGTCATCAACATGTGAAACATAAACTTTTAGTATTTCCCTTTATTATAATATGGCGGTAGTAGAAGCATTTACATTGTAGAGCTTCCGCATTTCTTGGCAGCTACGCAATGCAGCATGCCCCTTTTCACACCGAATGTCACGTCACCAGCAGGTTGCGGCTGTCTCTTACCCCGTCGTTAAACAGAGCAACTACAGAAAATAGGTCACGAAGCAGTGATCATGACTGAGTCACACAGGGATGTTGCAACACTGAATCCCGGAGAAAAGCTCACCGGAGAAAAACTCCCCGGAGAAAAGCTCACCGGAGATAAGCTCACGGGAGGAAAGCTCACCGCAAAATTGGCGGATGCGGAGAAAAGCTCACCAGTCATTGAGCGTATGCGGAAAAAAGCTTGCCGATATTTTTTCTTCTTTTTATAGGGAGGCTGTTGGCTAATGCGTAATATATATCAATTTATAATGATTAAAATTATTCAGCTTTATAAACAAGAAAATGTCCTTTTTGTAATATTTGTTAAGCTTATTGGGTATGTTGCTCCCAAATTAATAATTGCGGCCGAGTGTTTTCTGTGGCTTACACTCGAGGCAACGAAAGCCTAACAAAAACTTTATGAACTTGAAGAACAGGAAAAAGTTAAAAAAGAATTAATGATGTCTGCCTAAAACCTAAAAAATCAAAGCTGTAACTGCCGAAAATTCAAAAGTGCATGCGCAACAACGCGGTGCCTGAAATTCTTCTTGAAGCTTTTGTTAAATTTCGAAAACATGATAAAACAGTCAATAGTATATCGAGGCTTCTTTCTTCCACGGACATGCACGCTTTCTAGCCGTTCGTGCAGGTGTTTTCACGCGTTCCCTTTGTGTGATACTGGGTGCCCTTCTACGGTGAGCCACCCATGACCTTCGGAGCTGCGCAATGGCACCGTTGTTACTCGTAACCTATAGAAGAAGTAGTCTTCTGTTGTGCAGCGAATAGGGCGAATTGATAAAAGTTATACATGATGAAAACCACTCAAACGACGACGATGGTGTGAAGAAAACAAACGCGACAAGCGAAGCTGTTCTCGCAACTAAACTTTTGTTAGTGAAATTAACAGAAAGAAAAGAACGTAGCCGACACTGATTACATCAGCAAACACCTTCTTATCTATTAAGCACTACACAATATTTGGAGCTGAACCGGTTCACACACCGCTATTCATTATAGCTCGCAAAGAACAAACCAGATCTTTATCTGACAGAGCTAGCGACGGCGCGCTGTCAGCTGTCAATAAATTGTTGCCTTTCTTATCGGTGTACGATGTTTTGATTTTATGCTTGCGGCTTCATTAATTTATAGAATGGGTGATTACTAATTTCTGAGGAATTGGTAAAGATGCCCAATGAACTTCAAGAATATTACAAAAACGAGGACATATTTTAAATGCAGTGACGAATGCGAATTGTGTTAAATTGCCACGTTTGACGCAGAATCAAGCTAAGCTAAAAAAATATCGGTAAGCTTTTCTCCGCATCCGCTCAAAGGCCGGTGAGCTTTTCTCCGCATCTGCCGGTTTTGCGGTGAGCTTTTCTCCTGTGAGCCTGTCTCCGGTGAGCTTTTCTTCGGTGAGCTTTTATCGGGTGAGCTTTTCTCCGGCGCCCTGCAACCTACGGTTGAACATGCCTGTGTCTATTCTCAGTATGAACTTGCACTTACCGTGGCTTTTGCTTGTGACGTTTTGTATGTGGCGGTAGGTATCGGCAAATTATAATCACGACTCTGGGACATTTTAAGAGCGTAGCTCTCACAAACCTACTCGCTAGTGAACCAAGAGTGGTCGCGCAACCACCGAACCACAAGGTAACCATAAGAGAACCGTAATTATTTTTCTCCCCGTGTCATGGCTGTTGAAACCGGCACGCAAACCCTGTATAAATGCATTCGTAAATACCGAATTGAGAACTTCTTACATTGTGCGCAACTTACAATCATTTTAGATAGGCTTTTTGCCTAAGAATATTTTTGTACATCTGGCGTCACGCCCCATGGTGCGTGCTCTAGTACACCTTTAGGAAGTTGATCACTGATTCAAAAAGTAACTCTATTGTAAAAAAAAACAATGTTGCGGAGTAGAAAAATTCTAATAGTGGTTCGAATCAAATAATGCAGCAACGCTCAAGAAATCACGAGTCCAAAGGCAAGTCACAAAATCGTAGCTTCATTGGCACTTCTAAAGCTGATTAAAGAAACTGCACCGACTTTACATAACAAGAAAAACAATTTAATCAAACGTTTCGTTTCCCATGCGGGAAACATCATCAGTGAAACCTTCCAGCAGGAATGAGCGAAAAAGCCTCAACATTTCTATTTAAGCAAATCCGCGTACACGTCGGGGAGGGGGCCACTGTCGGAGTTACAGGCTGATGAATCTCTCCGGATGAATTATGATTCCACGAACCTGCGCGGGCCCCACCTTTGTTCACGCGCCAGAGTGGACGCATTCTTAAAGTCAAAATTGTGACCCGTTTTCCAACAGTGGTCTACGAGTTCCCTCTTCGCTCTTGTAGCATGCGTGGCCTTCGCCACGCTACTTTTGTGTTCGTTTAGGCGGGCGCTTGATTAGAGGGCTGCTCGTTCAGGCGGGTCTTCGTTTGGGTAGGTGTTCATTTAGGCGTTTCATTAAATCGTTTATGTTATTATCTAAAGTCGGCGCAGTTTTTTTTATTATCATGATTCCCGGCTTTTAGGAAACAAATTTGCATTCATTCGCACCTTGTACGGCTCTGCTGCCATGGGCAACTTGGGAGAATACTTCAACCGGTCCCCAAAGATTATCCACCTGGAATGCCATCAAGGCTTCAATTATGAGGGCCTGAGCCACAACGTGATTCTACGTGGTCTGCAATGTCGCCCCCGGGTCGACACGCCCTACGGAAGAAAACTGGCCCAAAACTTCAGCCGTGACTACCTCAAAGCACGGATGATGGACAACAAGCAGAAACTCATCGACTGTCGGCACCGGCTTGTTGCAGCCAAGAAGTTCCTACGGCGGACTCTCCAAAATGACGACATGCACCACGTGTTCGGTGCAAGGAAGCAAGCAGAAGAAACCGAAAATATGAAGTGCACGGACACCCATGTCAAGACACTGTCCTAACTAATTCCAAAGGTCCCCATACCACCGGCATCAATGCTCTACAACTTGTCATCGAAACAGCTCTCCGCTGGTCATGTAAGTATTCATTCGAAAGATCTTGATTTTGCCCTCGCCACATGTGTAGTTCCAAAAAGAGACTTTATAGTCGAAATTGAGGAGGCACTTCGTCACCTGCAGGATATCACCGGTATTAATCTGGCTCGCAGCCGCATAACCACCATGCTTAACAATGCTAAAGTAACGCCATCGAATCTGAGCAAGATTAAGCAATCGGCACTACGGGATCTTAAACTGGATCACTTAAATATTATTCTTACAGCTGATAAGGCGAAAAACACTGTAATACTCGATAAAAAAATTTACTACGAAAAAATGCCGATTCTTCTTGACGACACATCGCATTTTGGGATGTTACCACGGGACCCCACTCGTAAACGTTGCCACGATGCCATATACCGTTGTCTTTTTTCTTACGATGGATCTACACCTAAATTGTATGGTCTCCTCAAGATTTATAGACACGAGTGCCCGTTGCGTTTTATTGTTTCATACATTGGGTCTCCGACGTACAATTTGTGAAAATATCTGGTCGAACTCATCACTCTGGTCACGGGAAAAATGATTTAACAGCACGAAATTCCCAAGAATTTGTGGGTTTGGTTTGGGATCACGTCCGGGACGAAGACGACATAATGGTTTTATTTGATTTTGTGCCCTTGTTTACGAAAATACCCACTTCTCGAGCTCTTGAGATATCCGAAACACGCTTTCATAAGGATGACAGCCTCCCCTCACGCACATCGTTAACGGTGGATGATATTGAAATTTTACTGCTGTTTTGCCTTAAGCAGTCACATTTTACTTTCGCGGAAAAATGTACCACCAAATTGAAGGATGTCCAATGGGTAGCCCAATTTAGGTTACAATGGCAAATCTTCTTATGGAGCATGTGGTGGAAACCGCTCTCGAACAGAACGCGCACCAGATAGGGTTTTACAAACGTTATGTTGACGACACCTTTGTAATTTCAAAAAAGGACCATGTTACTGACTTTCATTTAGCTTTAAACAGCGTTGAACCGTCAATTCAATTCACGCATGAAGTTGAACAGAACCTTGCGCTGCTTTTTCTGAATGTTAATGTGTTCGGAAATAGTACTGGTCGCTTAGATACAACAGTGCACCGCAATGCCTGCGACACAGGCAACTTCTTAAGCTTCAACCCACATCATTCAGTCGAACATAAAAAGGCTGTCGTAAAAACCCTACTACATCGGTCCGAACGCATTCCTTCTACTCCTAAATTACGCGCATCTGAGGATGCTGTTATTGTTGACCTGTTGATGAAGCGGAATTATTCGAAACGTTTTATTAAGAACACGCGCAAGCAGATGGGACAAATAAGAAGTTAGGATAATGAAAGGCTCAAGACAGGGCAGGTAACAATACCCTGCTTGAAAGTTTCTCAGTTTATTCGCAGGGCCCTCGCCCCTTTGAGTATCCAGACAGCTTTCAAAATTCACCGTAAGCTACGTGGCCTCATTTCTAAACCTAAAGATTACAACCCGCCCCCCCCCCCCCCCCCCCCCCGAGTCGAATTGCGGTGTTGTATATAAACTGAACTGTCTAGACTGTGACGCATCGTACATTGCAGAGAAAGGCCGGAGGCGCTGCACCCGCCTAAAAGAGCACAAAGGGGACGTGGCAAAGGCCACGCATGCTACAAGCGCGAAGACGGAACTCGTAAAACACTGTTGGAAAACGGGTCCCAATTTGGACTTTGTGAATGCGTCCACTCTGGCGCGTGAACAAGTGAACAAAGGTGGGGCCCGCGCAGGTTCGTGGAGTCATGATTCATCCGGAAAGACTCATCGCTCTGTAACTCCAACAGTGGCCCCGTCCCCGACGTGTACGCGGACTTGATTAAATAGGATTGTTGAGGTTTTTCCCCTCATTCCTGCTTGAAGATTTCACTGATTATGTTTCCCGCATGGGAAACGAAACGTTTTTTTAAACTGTTTTTCTTCTTATGTAAAGTCGGCGCAGTTTATTTTATCATCATGATTCCCGGCTTTTGGAATATTTTTACACTTTTAAAGCTGAAAATCTCGCTACACTATTTCGTTTGAAACTATATTTGTCCACGACAATACACCCTTCTCAAGCGTCCATCAAGCAACATTTGCGGCCGCCATTGATTGGGCACGAAGCGTGTTATTGTATCCGAGTGCTTGCCGAACGCTGACGCAATTGACTCTCGTGTCCAATGCGTGCTCAGGGAGCGAGTACAAACAATTGCCAACCCGGCTAACTGCCGCAGCAGTTACTAGTTGGCGCGCACTTTTAAAAAGCATTCATTCCTAGTGGAACTTCTTTACTAGGAAGATTGAGTTTCGGAACGCAAGTTATAAAATTATAGCTCTGGTCTAGTTTAGCAGGCATTATGGCTTCCAAGTCTTACCCGCTGTCCAGTGATTGTGCAAAACATTTCCCCTACCGTCTTAATGTCCTCGTAGCAGGTAAACGGAGTCGGCCCTTGCGACAGCACTCCTGCAAAGTAATATTAGCATGAAATTTCTGAAGTTCATTTAAATGAACTGCTATAATAAGCATTGCAATACATTTAACCGTGATTGAAAGATAAACATAAATTGTGGCTATCCTATGCTTTTAAATGTCACCAGAACAGACCAGCTCACAACTCGGCGTTCACACGCACGATGTCAAAACAGCAGACATAAATCACCGAGCATCGATGCAGCAGCCACAAAACAGTATCTTGTAAAAACAACAAAGCCACAAACGAATATAGCGAAGAACAGTCGAATGTGAAAATTACAAAGCGGAGATTTAACCTTCTAAACAGCAGACATATTGCCCATGATACATAATGCTGATAATGTTAAGATTCTAGTGAACTAATTCTAGCGTGTAATAATTCATTTGAGTGTGCCTCGTTCTATTGGCCCTGTAGTCCCCATAATATGTTCCTCTCGTAAGGCATAAAACACTTTTCGGGTGGAACCAGCTGAACATCGGAAGGTTCCGTTAGAAATAAATGACTAACTAACTCAGCTAATCCACCCCATAAAAAGAAAGTGCAAAGTAGAACTACCCGCAGCAGTTTTCAACAACCAAAAACGCTGAGCTCCAAGTAAACCCGTTCTACAATTTAATTCCGTGTCTCAAGCGGTGTTTCTGCATTGGCGGTAACATTTTGATAGGCAGCACGCTTCACCCGAGTTTAATGAGAGCTTCCCTTGCGATTTTATTTATGTTGCTGGTTATTTTTGTTTCGACAACCGCATACGGGAATTTCTGCTGATAGAGGGGATTTCTAATTATTTTTGAACTGGTTCGATATTTGCGCTAAAAAGGAGATAATAGGACCTAGTCATGGAGGAATGACTTGTTTGGAAAGTTCGCGTTATTTTGGGAGTTATAAGCAACTTTAAATTACAAAAAACAAGCGAAGCATTTTTTTCTCTGTGACCCATTCGGGAAAGTTAATCGATTGATGGGCTGGAGCAAAGCGGTTGGCAAATTAAATGCGGGCTGTGCTGTACACGTTGCTTAAGAAGAGGAACGAAAGCTCGTTCATCGTTCCTGCTTATTTTGAGAACGCGTTCGAGTTGGAAGTCTCATCTGTGAAAAAGGAACTCATTCCTGTTAGAGCTTAAAAAATTTTAGCTTATTCTTACATAAACGTTGCTTTTGTGTCTTCCTAATACCATATTTAGCTAAATCCAATTAAGTTTTTTTTGTATATACGCCTCGTCAGATGTCTACATACAAATTTGAATGCCGTAATGGAAGGAGACAAGGAGAAGGAAACAACCGGGAGCAAGTTTTTATTTGTTGATGTATTCATACTAACTATCTCAGCGTTTTACAAATTTTCCTGTTCGTGGTGGGTGATTCAGACGAGCCAAGTTTAATGTGATCCCGGAAAGAGAAGTCGGTTAAATTTTATTATTTTTATTAGATGGTTATTCCACATTGCATGAGCGTTTTACAACCTCGCAGGTTTCAATCTAACAAAGTCCCTTGTTTGATCTTAACAACCTTTGCCTATCAATGTCGCTGTCCACAAGTGACGGTCGAATACATTGTGGCGGTGGAATTTTTTGTTCGGTTTAAAGGTGGGAAGAAGGGGAGAGGAAATGAAGGTTAATTTTTGTGTATCCTTTAAGTGAACAATGTTCGAGCTAAAAGTATGCGTTTGATGTCTGGTGACCTGGTGTTTTGGTGTAACTTTAGGCATCTTTGTGGAAGTTCAGTAATGGCTGTAGTCAGCCGTAAATATCTGGGTGTACTGGGATTCGTGGAAGCAAAAAAAAAAAACTGAGTTTGAGACATCCCTCTTTCTGTGTTTGTTTGTTGGACTAAAAGTATTGTTTTTGTGACACAGTCTCATGCACTGAAAAATGAATCGAAGTCCACCAGTTCGCCTGCACCCGACTGTTACCAAACGAGGACCCCGCAAAATAAAACACAAAATAAGTAAGAAATATTTAACGAGATCGTGCTCTTCGTGGAAAAAAAAAATATTGTTAATATTATTTATAATTTTTGAAGTTCCCCATCAGAAATCAAATAAAAATGACCTCACTGGAGAAGAAAATAAGAAACAATGTTTCTTTTTCTGTTCGCGTTAAAAAGGTACCGAGTTGCTGTTCCAGTTCCACCGATGTAAAATTGAACGGCGGCGTTCCTTCGTTCCTCCTAAATGGAACGCGTGCCAGGAACACCGTTTCTTGGAACGCCGTTTCGTACCAGGGTTGGGCAGAAATGCTCAAAAATATATTTGGAAATACAAATACTGGGATACACTGAAATAGTAGCTAAAATACTGATACTAAAATATATCTGTGAAAATGTATCGCGATATGTTTCGAAAATACATTTTAAATAGAGGCAAAAAGTATTTGGAAATACAAATACAGAAATACATTTTAGGGATGGCAGAAATACAAATACAGAAATACTGATAGTGCAATACCTTTTTCAAACTTGTTTGAGACGCCAATTGAGATGAAGTTTGAAGTTTGAAGTGTAAGTTTTCGATCCCGAAATTACTTTCCCGTACGCTTGGAACTTTGCCTTGGAGGTTGTGGTTTCGGACGAGAGCAGTCTTCAATGGGCTCTATAAAAAAATGTTCTTTCAAGGGCTAACCATGTTCTCTTCCCTAACATCCTGTCTGTCTGATGAGGGATGCGAAAAGACTTCGACCTCTAAATCAATTCTATGTCACCCTAAATCCCATCAAAACGTCACCACGCCCCTGTCCAATAGGGACGCCCCTGTCAACATTGATCACATGACGTCATGATGGAAAGAACTGGTATTCTTTATGTGTAGGATTGGGCTTGAACGTGAAACTTTACCACACTGCTGTATGAAAGAACGATACGTATTTTCGTCGTAGGCCACCTCGTTGAAGATCGTGCAGGCAGTGTCATTTGGAATTTTTAAGAATAGTGAACCACCTGAAGCATTTTGGAACAAATTTCTTATCGTCTGTTACGCTTGAAGAAACGATATGGTGGCATCCCGGTTGTGAAGGTCCTTCCTGCCGACCCTTTGCCACCGACGAATAAATTGTGGTCCTCAAGTTTCACCTAGCATCATCCAAACAGAAACTTCGTGGGTTGCGACCTGGTATAGCCGGCACAGTTGCGAGCTCTCCGAGAAACAGCGCGCTTGAGACGAGTCACAGTTATACGAAGTCGGGGTCGGCACAGCGAGGCCACGTCTGGCCTCCTTCCTGGGTTTCGGATCACCAGAGCAGCGGGTCACGTTCACGTGGGCTGGTGACGTACCTATGAACCATGCAATATTACGGGCGCAGCCGCAGACGCATTCGAATATGTGTTGACAGCGTGAGTCATGCTACTATTTCATGTCAACCACCACCAGGCTGGTGCTGCAACAGACTGTGATTCAACTTTGCCGGCTGGGTGTACTGTGTATGCTAAGGCAAAGAGAGACGGTTAAGAGTGGGCATTGGACGCCAGAAAACTGCGGCAGAAGATGATCTAACTCCACCCCTGGCACGCCACCTGGTACGAATCCCCGACTACGCAACACTTCTCAGAAAAGAGGAGAGGGCGCACAGAAAAATAATTTGGAGAATCGGAAGGAACCTTGGTCAGAATAGTAACAATGCCCCGGCATCTCCTTGACCCTAATGCATTCATAAGCAAAAAGAAAAAAATTGTGTTTGGAATTGTTTTTCTTTTTTTTATTCGGAGGGGGGGGGGGGGGGGGGGAGTATTTCTCACGAAATGTAACGAAATACATTTCATCCTGATTGTATCGCGATGCAAAGAAACATTTCAAATGTATTTCGATGCAGGAATACAGATACAGGTGAAACAAATGTCTCGCGATACAAAAATACAGATACGGAATGTATTTCTGAAATACTATCGCGATACATTTGTATCGCGATACTGCCCAACCCTGTTTCGTACAACTTTGGCTGCGGGATTGGTACACCACTGCCATACCGAGGGCGGGAACGCCTCGTCATGAAGGCTCCTTATCTCGTCCCAAATTCAGGCTCGGTACATGATCGTGCCGTCGTAGAATGAAATTCGTTGTCCAATACGCCGCGCCCCACCGCGCCGAGAAGAGCTCAATCAATCAAAAGTCATCCGTTCTGTGAATAACACGCCAAGCGTTGTAAAGACGTTCAATATTTAAATATCTGACTTGTGCAACCTGAAATTTTTGTCCATTTATCTACATTTGTCCTCGGGGTAAAATGGAACAACTTTTGTTGGATGTGGGTTTTGTTTTTCCTCAGCGCATTACATGCTGTTTATTTTTGCAGATTTAGACGTGTCTTCTTATAATTCTTAATTAGTTCGGAGACACATTTACCTGAAAACAACAATGCGGTGTCATCTGCTTTAATAACATTTTGCAGTTTCATTTATGTCCATGGTATCGTTGAAATACATACTAGATAAAAAAGGAACCGAGAATGCTTCCTTAGCGCACACCTGATAAAAATGGTTTTATGTCGAAAGAATGGTCATCTATTAATTCTAGTTGTACAAATTATTTTCGACTGTGTAAATATGACGTCAAGATCATTGAACGTCTTCTGCGAAAGCCACACCTACAATTTTTTTTAATAATAGCAATGATTTAAGTTACCGAAGGCTGTCGGGAAAACTGCACAAATACCAGGGGTTATATTTTTTCAAACGTGTTCAAAATAAATTACTTTTGTTCCAATAGAGGTTCTTCTGATGACTGATATTTCCGAAATCCGAATGGTGCTACCTTAAGTATATAATTTCTATAGCAGAAGTTAGACATTCTGGAGAAAATGACATTTTCTAGTCCCTTTGAATAAACAGGTAACATTGAAACAGGTTTGTGGTTTCCCATGTGGTTTTGTTTTCTTTTTATACAAAACTAACCTGTTGGGAGCTGAATTGGCTTATAACCCGACGTTGAAGATATAATTTAAGCATGGAAATACGCATTTCACAGATTTAATCTTTATAGCGTCTGCATCGCAAGCTTGCACTGT